CGAGTTTATGAAAATATTAGAAAATCTGACCTGTTTTACTAAATATTGAGATAAGCTTTATTCATTCATCACCATAGAAAAGTCCAGAAAAAATATTCATTGTTTATTTTAATGTTATTTTAAAAAAAATCAGATATGCTTTATCCCTGTGCATTAATTTAGCTCAATTAAACCGTCACATCTCAATTTAAATAGGTTTTTATTCATTAAATAAAATAATTTTTTTAAAGCAATACAAGGGACTTTTGTTTGTTCATTTTTATGGCAGCTCATTGTTAATTCGAAGAGGAGGCTGACCGTGAGCCAGGCAAGCAGAGCGTAAAACCTCGGTACACCTCATTTGTTTTCCGGAGTATGATGGGTTTTAATAGTGTAATAACATTAATTACATTATCCCTTCCAATGAACCTTAATTTTAATTACTAGTTTATGTTATTTGTGGCGAAATGTTGAACAGATTCCTTGTTTAATTTTTAAGGAAACTAACTTTTAAATGATAAAAATAGTCTCTTTTTTTCCCTCTAAAAGTCGTTCTATTGGATTCTAATTGTACGATATTTTTTCCCCGATAAGAAAGCACGGTTTTGAGCTTTGTTGTTTATAGGGAAAGCAGAAAGCGCCGAGAAGGGAATATCGCTTATTGACGATACGAGGGCGGATTTACGAGACTGATGGTACGAGCCAGGAAAGCTTTTTTACTGTTGATGTCCAATGACAACGAATTATGATTCAATACCTTCCACTAAGTGGATTTATAATATATTTAGCGGAAAGCCGGAAGAAAGAGGCAAAGTTGTAAATGAATTTTCTCTTGGATAAAACTCTTCTCATATATCGAATATGATTATACTTTACAGTACGATTTTATCCTGACTACGCAGCTGTTATGCTGTTTTTGTTAAAAACCTAAACAAAAAAATAATAAAATTATTTAAAAAAGAAGAAATGGTACAACGCTGCAAGTAACTCATATTTAAATTCCCCATTTTAACATTACAATATTAACAATATCAAATTTTTTATTAATCATTTTATAAAGACTAAAACGTAGTTTAAAAAGTTTTAAGCTAATCGTCTTATTATTTTTGTATTTCATGTTGCCATGTTCGGTGGTTAGTGTGACGGACCAATGCAAGAGATAACACGTATCCTTAACGTTTCTGACCAAACCAGGGGGGATCGATCTACTCTGTACATGACTCCAAGTACATAAAACAGGAACGATCGCGGGATACAACAGACAGACATCCACTGAATACGGCTTATGAGAAATGCATCTGATAGGGAAAAAAACAGTGATACTAGGCAGAAGGATTATCAGAAACAATTTGAAAAATGGCAAAAAGGAGGGAAAATTTAAAAGGTGGGGTTGAGATGGGAAGTTAGTGTCCGAGTGGATCGAGCTCACGATAGCTCAAGTAGTAGAGCAGCGGCGTATTTAGCCGAACGTCATGGGTTCGAATCCCGCTCATGACACTGATTTGTTTAATACTTTTTAAAAGGATAGTTCCTACTCACAGTAAGTTGTTTTGCAACGATCCGGATTTCGAGCCTTTTAGCTCATCATCAGGTTGAAGGACTTCTACAACCACGTCTCTCGACATGAATTGCCAAAGTGACCACGGCTACTCGGGCCCATAGGTCTGAAGGCGGATGAAATGGTCAATGCCTAGACAACCCAAGCTCCGAATTTAACCACCACGATCACCGCGATCTGGTCCTCTGAAGCTAAAAATTCATTAAAAAACAAGCCAAAGCCCGCGTATGTATCCGGCATGTAGAGAAAAGTTGCTCGATGCATGCACCTAGTTGAAGGGTGCAATTCCTTGGCTTCATGTAGAGAGCATGCCACCCGATATGAGAGTACCTGGATCCCTGACTGAAATGAATTAGCTGTTAGTTAATATTCCCGGGAGCCCAACTCGCCTAGTTGGATAAGACCGAGGTCTGACTCCACCAACCCCGGGTTGGGGGCCTGCCGGTAATTTATTATAAATAGGTGATAGGTTCTACCCTGTACACGCGTGTGCAGATCTGAGCTTGAATAAATCAGTAATCAGAACAGTAGGCAGCGTATATTAAGAATAAGAAGGGGCCATGGATGTTCCCCTGGTAGATACTCTCGCCATTGGGAATGTAAAATTAAAAAAAAAACACGGAGATATGCAATATCGATCCTTCAGACTAGATGAAAAAATGAAGATGTAAGTAAAAATGAGTTTTATCATTTCCAATCATCAATGTTTGGGAGTGCCCTCGAATGAAGTTCAACTCCCCGCAAGCCATGACACATGACTCCAAGTACATAAAACAGGAACGATCGCGGGATACAACAGACAGACATCCACTGAATACGGCTAATGAGAAATGCATCTGATACGGAAAAAAAACAGTGATACCAGGCAGAAGGATTATCAGAAACAATTTGAAAAATTGCAAAAAGGAAGGAAAATTCGAGAGGTGAGGTTGAGATGGGAAGTTAGTGCCCGAGCGGATCGAAGTCACGATAGCTCAAGTGGTAGAGTAGCGGCGTATTTAGCCGAAGGTCGTCGGTTCGAATCCCGCTCGTGTCGCTGAATTTTTTTATCTCAACCAATACCTTTCATCAATATTAATTAATTGAAAAATGTTAATTGGTCGATCGGACCACGAACTGTAATGGATTTAGTAATTTTTAATGTAGAATTTTCTAGTGCTATTCGAATTTTAATGGGTTGATGCTTAAAACGAACTAGAGATCGCCTTTTTTTTCAAATAAAATGGCCTAGTTTCCACAATTTTTAAAAGTTCTTTCCATTCTAAAAAATGACACCAGAAACTTAACAATCTCTCTGTATTTTTGTTTCACCTTCTCCCCAATTATTCTTCTCTCTCTCTCTCTCTCTCTCTCTCTCTCTCTCTCTCTCTCTCTCTCTCATTCGTTCACTTTCTATTTTCCTCTCTTTTATGTTCTCTTATTCTCTCGTTCCATCACTCTCTCTNATATCTTTCTCTATTTCATTCCACCCCAACCTCCTTCTTATTTTCAAACTACCTTCCTTCTTACTATTTCATATCTCATTAACACATAATCAATCTCGCAGTTTGTGTGTTTGTTTTTTATTTATCTCTACCACGATTTATTTTTCCATTTATCTATCTTTTTTTATTATATCCATTTATTTATCTCTATCTAACTTTCCCTCTCTATGTCAGTCCATCTATCTCTATGTCTCACACACACACACACACACACACACATTTCTATATATTATCATTATGAGGTAATCTAACTCTCCACAAATTAGTTTTATTTTAATTTAGTTATTTTAAATCAACTGTAAATATTTTATAACGGAACAGAAGTTGTTAGGCTGTGCTGAAGTTTCGCCTGTTCACCTTATTTCCAAATAGAACTACAATGCAACCGATGGGCTCTGCGTTTTTATCAATTCGTTCAAATCGTTCTTAATAAATAATTATCAACTAATAATTATTTTAAATCTATTGTGAAAATATTATTGAAAGAATGTTTGTGGAAAAGTTATTCAAATTTTTACTTTTCATTGTAAATAGTTCTTTAAATACCATAATTTGGCCGTTCAGAATTTAATATATTCACATTTAGTCGTGTAAATATATGAAACAAAATTTGTTATCATGCAATAGAAAGTTTTAAAAAAAACTTGTGCAGGTCAGCATAAAAGAGTTTTAGCCCGAAAGAATTATCGTGTGTCAACCCTTTAGTGCCTGTTAGTCAGAATGGCCCCTTTTCTCAAACATGTGCAATACTCTCCTATTTATCAAGAAATCTTTATTTGAACCCTTTAATTTATCAGATTTCTTCTTTTTGTTAGATTTTTTGATAAGATCTTTTTATAGAATTTAAAGAAACCCGTCTTGTTCTGAATTTTTACTTCTTCAACACTGTTAAAATTTGATTGACATACAAGAAAATAAACTTAGTGTCTTCAGAATCATTTAAAATAGTGAAACTAATTTAAAATATGTGAGAATTACAAAGCTCTTTGAATCATCTGATTATTTACAAAACGATAACCCCATGCTTAAAATACTAAAAGTATAAGAACGACCGATCTTTAGACTATTTTAAGAGCTTTTAGCAAATCCATATCAATAATTAAATAGTTGTCTTAGTTCTTATACTTCTGGATAAATTATTACTACAATTAAAATATTCATCAAGTTAACCATTAGGTTTTGTTTAAAAGCGATTGTTTAATGTTTAAACATAGAAAACTTTGGGAAAAAAAAGGTATTAAAAAATATGCATGTCAAAGATTTATTGGTATTTACAATAAAAAATTTAACAGACTAAACAAGGCCCACGTGTTATATATTGGTTAGCCTGAACATTTATTTTAATAACAGAACGGTATTTTAGCCCGTGAAGTGTACAATCTAGATTTATGGCCACGAGTTTTTACCATGGAGCAAAATCGAAAGTGTGAATTTTATTATTTGGTTCTGTTTCTGATATTCGGCCTTTGATAGTTTATTTAAGCTGTTAATCGTCCGTTTGGATTTTGGTAAAAGCAAACAAACTTTTACAAAAGTAGGGACAAGAAGGCCAGAATTATGGGATCGTTAGAGTGCTATTGTTTCAATTAAAAAGGGGATTAAAGGAAATTTTCCAGGCCTCTTGTCCAAAACGGAAAGGGGATACAATACTTGACAGATGCTACTTTGCAAATTTTTACAATTTCATCGAACTTTTTTTTTTAGTTTCTGTTCTCTAAATTTTTTAATTGTGATTTCACCTTTGAGATTTATAAGAGGGATGGAATTTTTTTAAACAAGACCTTAATGTGAAATAACAAAATTTCAAATTTAAATTATGCCCGGGAAATGAAATTATTCATCAAAAACGTGCAAAAGGGCGAAAAAATATTACATTTGATATTTTAAAAAAAACGCACGTTTGAATTTGACCAGTTAAAAAAAAATTATAAAACTCTACGTCTTTTATTGAATGAAGGGTTGAATAAGTTGAGCGTTACCTGTTGACTGGGTGGCTCATTCCGGAGGGGTGAAGCTCTTCTGAGGGTAGCCCACAGGGCGTGAGACTTGCCGGAACCGGGGGTGGCTCATGGAGCGCATGCCCTCGCTCTTACCGCCCTTCGGTCCTTGGAGACCCGTCGACCAGCGTCCTTAAGACAATCCGACCTAATTTTGAATTGGAGTCGACACTCTTAAACGCACTTCCAAGCAAAAATTCCCTGAAACGAAGGCATAAACTTTAACTAGATTTTATTTGTTTTATCACTTCAACTTGTCGTCTGATAGTTGGTTGGTCGCCCTTTAGACATTTTCAGAGGATGTCTGCCTGCTGTATCTCGTGTTCTTCCATACTATAGAAACCGGTGGTGCTAGCTGGGATTTTAGGCATGTGGATAGCTTTTTGTAGTATGTTATAATTTTTTTATCTTTCAATTAATTAAGGTTTTTAGTTGAGATAAAAAAGACAGTGTCACGAGCGGGATTCGAACCCACGACCTTCGGCTAGATACGCCGCTACTCTGCCACTTGAGCTATCGTGACTTCGATCCACTCGGACACTAACTTCCCATCTCAACCCCACCTTTTGAATTTCCCTTTTTTTTGCCATTTTTCAATCCCAAATCCCGCTCGTGACACTTTTTTATCTCAACTAAAAACCTTAATTAATTGAAAGATATTAATTGGTCAAACGGACCACGAAAATTAGTGAATTCATTTCGTTTTTGACAAAGTTTTAATTATTTTTTTTAAAACTGAATTAATATAAAACTTATAGAAAGGAATACTTTACCTCATTTATTGAACATGTATTGATCAAATAGTGCAGAAAGAACCGTTAAAAAATAATAAATGACATACTTTTAAGTATTATTTTTCATAACGTGTATAAATATGAATAGAAAAATAACAGAACATTACTATACAAGTGAACCAACTGACCGATAACACTTTTGATTTTATCTAATCTCTAGTGTATTCGTCAGAGCTGATTGGTACTGCCCAGTGCCTTGGAAGCGTGTTCTACCGTTTTCGGTATATCGATTTTTGCGGAAACTAGAAGACGGTACAAAGCTGCCTTACGCGAAACTTCAAGTTTAACACTTGGGAAACAAAAAGGCAACAGGTTTTTTTTCAGTTTCTAACAATCTTTTGACTTTTTTATGAGCTAGAGGTAGAAGTAGGAATTTATTTGACCTGAGGTTCTCACGTGGGGTTTGTAGTTTCGAAAATTTCTTTCCTTCTGTTGTCTTTAAAAAAACATATATATTACATACTATTACATTCTGTAACCTTATTTACATTACAATTAATTAAGGTTTTCAGTTGAGATAAAAAAGTCAATGGCACGAGCGGGATTCGAACCCACGATTCAGCTTGATACGCCGCTGTTCTACCACTTGAGCTATCGTGACTTCGATCCACTCGGACACTAACTTCCCACCTCAACCACACCTTTTGAATTTTCCCTCCTTGAGATGGGAAGTTAGTGTCCGAGTGGATCGAGGTCACGATAGCTCAAGTGGTAGAACAGCGGCATATCAAGCCGAAGATCGTGTGTTCCAATCCCGCTACTGCCATTGACTTTTTGATCTCAACTGAAAACATTAATTAATTATAAGTTATTAATTGGTCAAGCGGACCAAGAAATTAGTGAATTGAATAATTTATTTACATTATGTAATGAATGGCAGTTACAAATTAAATGGATCATGGTGTCGTGAGAGAAATTAACATTGGGAAACTCGGTAGGCGTGAGAGAAGATTTTTATTTTAATTAGGAGGGTATTTCAATTGCGGGGCTATATGAACATTCGGAGTGCCGGTGTTTTTGACAAAAAGCCCATTTGTTTTTCAGGTTCGAATCCCAGGCCGCTGGATTCGAACCCCGGACCTTTACTTTACAGTGATGGCTGCCGAAGACACATGAGTGCGAGAGGAGAGTTTATTGTGTGGTAAGTGGAAAATGTTTCGTGGATTATTTTTTGCACGAGAGGGTCTTGATGTCATCATGAAGGGTGTTGTTGGCGACGTAGTAAGGAGGATTGATTATGATTTGAAGACTTTGGATTGGAAGGACTGTATTCTTTGGAAGGTTTAGCGGTGTCCCGCAGTTCTAGTCTGTAAATCCGGATTTGTTTTAGCATTTTCTTGTAGATGTCAGTTTGTTTTGCGTAAATGTTAGATTTACGTGACAATAGTCTGTAGAGTGTAGTACGATACGTAATTCCTATCGTTTTAGTCGTGTGTGTTGGTTCTACGTTAGATTTGAGTCTAAATGGAACCTGAGGTCCGCAGTCTTTTTGGTATGGGACTATTGAGGAATATTGTATGAGGGGTTTTGTTTCGAATGTGATTGATACGTGAGTGTTTGTACTTTCATTAAACTTTATATGCTAGTTTGCTTCATTCGGCTATTTGCAAGAACACTCCTCCAGTTGTCGGTTCGGGATTAGGACTAATGCAAAGTCCTTCGCTTTTGGGCATAAACTCTTGTCAAACTTAAAAAAAGTCGAAAGCGTTCACAAGGGACGTCATTTCTATTAGATAATAAAACAATTGAATTTGGAAAAAAATAGATTGTTAAAAGTGTATTGATTTTCTTTGAAATTTGGATCGATACAGATGCTACACGTCAGGAGTTTATTAAATAAGATTGACATGTTTGATTCAAAATTGTGTCAATATTATCCGTTTAGCCATATCCGCTAACGAGAGAACAAAATACACACGTAGGCACAAATCAACAAAATAAAAGATTCATAGCTTTCAAAAAAGGTAGCTGAACTGTGAAAACTTACAAATATTTCAATAGCGCGATTATTCCATAATTCTTCCCAATATCCTGAGTATCGACCCGGATCGGGAAAACGTTAGCCGTCCATAATTCCAACCCTGTTGTGGATTTAAACGTCCTGTTTCGGGCGAATTACAAGTTTTCGAATAATATCGCCCTTGGCGAGTGAGAAACGGTTATGCACAGTCTGAGGGATAATTTTAACATTATTACCAACTATCCCACTTGCGCCAGTTTTCAGTGGTGTTGCCACTTGCTTTAATTTCGGCCCACCTACACATCTTTCCGATTTTACCCGTTTAACATTAATTTAATATTTTTCAAGCCCATAACGTTTTGCTTTGAATTTCATGATGTGCTTTATTCTTTTACATTATCCGTAATGCAACACGTGCATTTAATAAAAATGTTGACTTTTTCTTCTAATATGTTGTCCTAAAAACAGCCCAATGAATATATTCAAACATATTTTTATTGAGACACTTATAATCGACATACGTATGAAAATAGAAAATAATAACTGTTCATAAATAAATTAAATTTGTACATAACTGTAAATTAATTGCCACAATTTTGTCTTAGAGAGAAAGTGAGTGACTGAGAGAGACTGAGTGAGAGAAAGAGACTGAGCGAGAGAGAAAGAGAGTGTGAGACTGAGAGAGAAAGAGATAGTGACTGAAAGACTGAATGTGAGAGAGAGAGTAAGTGACTGAATGATTGAGAGGCTGAATGAGAGAGAAAAAGAGAGAGGGTGGCTGAGAAAGAAAGAAAGAATGATTGATAGACTGAATGAGAGAGAAAACGAGAGAGAGTGGCTGAGAGAGAAAGAGATAGTGACTGAAAGACTGAGTGAGAGAGTAAGTGATTGAATTATTGAGAGGCTGAATGAGAGAGAAAACGAGAGAGAGAGTGGCTGAGAGAGAAAGATATAGTAACTGAGAGACGGAATGAAAGAGAGAGACTGAGTGAGAGAGTAAGTGACTGAAAGATTAAGAGACTGAATGAGAGAGAAAAAGCGAGAGAGAGAGTGGCTGAGAGAGAAAGAGATAGTCACTGAGAGACTGAGAGAGAGAGAGAGAGAGAGAGAGAGAGTAAGTGACTGAGAGACTGAGTGAGAAAAAGAGAGAGTGACTGAGAAGCTGAAGGAGAGAGAGTATTGAATTGAATGTTTTATCTATAAAAGTTCGCAAAATTGGTCTCAGGGACCTGACATTTAACGATTGTGTGTGTGTGTGTGTGTGTGTGTGTGTGTGTGTGTGTGTGTGTGTGTGTGTGTGTGTGTGTGTTTGAAAGAGAAAGGAGGGAGCAAATGTCTCTTAGGCCGAGATAAATAGAGGGATCGATGGACGGATGAGAAAGCGAGAGAGACAAAGAATGAATTTGGAATGAGGAAAATGTATAGGCAATTTCAAGTCTTTACCACCACTGTACGGCAAAATTACAAAACCGGTAATTTTCAATTGTACGGAGAAAATTTAATTACTATAATAGCCACGTGGAATAGGGTTGTGGTCAGAAAAACAAATAGTNCGAGATAAATAGAGGGATCGATGGACGGATGAGAGAGAGAGAGAGAGAGAGAGAGAGAGAGAGAGAGAGAGAGAGAGAGAAAGAGAAAGTGAGAATGTGAGTGTGAAGCCGAGTCTAAAGACCAGCTTACACTACATAAATTTTTGAAAATTTCAGTGAATCCCTCAATTACTTTCAGTACTAAAAAGTCTACATTTTTTTGACTTAAGTATAATATACCTAGTGCTTAAAAAAATGAGTGAAAAAAAGGAAGAAGCATCAAAGAAAATGGTAAATAAATTATTTAAAGAAAAAGATTTAAAAAATGATAGAATATATTTATTCCAATCGGTTTACCATTTTGTGTATGCACTATTAAAAACGTGTTGTCCTTGTACAAATGTATGTATTTTTTAAGGCACTCTATACTCCAAATACCCCCTGCAATGATTTGTTTGGATTACTGAGAGTGTACTGTATTATTATAAAAATGCAACAATATTGAGCGCTGATAGTTTCATTTGGCTGTTTCCGTCACTGCAATAAAATGCCGATAAAAATTAAAAGTCCAACAACATTGATTGGGTCTGTTTATTTCCTTGTTCATATAAACAGGCTTTATTACTTTTTTTTTATACATATACCAGTCATAATAGAGATAATACGCGATTTGATATAGGTAATATGGTTTGAACGTTTCACATCCAAGAATCATATCTACATTAAAACTCAACATTGTTACACAATAGTTATATTATATTTTATTATGCAGTTATATTATATTAGTTGGTTTGGTTAATTGACATGTCAAAATTAAAAGATCAAATACCTCAATGTTAGTTTGTACATTTTAAATGTAATTTAAATATAATTGTGATTAAAGCAGAATGCATATTTTCTGTTATCACGATAAGTTATTTTACTGTACTGTACATGCAAATAAAAAATAAATAGAATAGATGCGAAAAATAAATATAATTAAGAATGCTAGGGTTGTAATTTTTGTTAGATTCGACTGCCAGAGTTGTGGCGTCTTAACGAGCCAAAGGAGAATATCAGTGCCAAGTATTGTTGCGTTTCTATTGTAAATGGCATATATTTACAGTGTTTATAAACAAGAAAATAAATAAATATAAGTAAGGGTTTATTCCATAAAATTAGTTGGTTTGTAAATTTTAAGTCTGATATAAATATAACTTGTGAAAAAAGTAATGTGTGCATTTTCACTTACCCTGATAATTTATTTTACTGTAACTCTGTACATGTTATTACAAAATAAATAGAATAGATGCAAAAAATAACTAATACAATTAATACTGCTAGGTTTGTAATTTTTGTTAGATTCAACTGTTGGAGTTGTGCTGTCTGAACCAGTCAAGAGTATCAATGCCAAATAGTATTACATTTCTATTATAAGAACTTAAAAAGGAACTATAATTGAACAGTGTTTTTATAAACAAGGAAATAAATATAAGTTTGTGTTTTTTCCTTAAAATTAGTTGGTTTGTAAATCTTAAGTGTAATAAAAATATATAGTATTTAATTTCCCTAGTATTATTATATTATTTTTATTGTAAATTGCATTTAAATTGATTAGAAATAATGTTTTTTGCTGATTGAAATTTAATTGAGGGATTTTGAAAACAAAATAAAAGATTTTAATTCCATAATTTTTTTTATTGGACACAATAATTTCTTTTTAAAGCAACTAATACTGGCATAATGTCCTCTATTGGCTAAAACCTCTGAGTATTGTTAGGCATACTAGGTTGTCACTAATTTCATAAGGAATTTCATTTCATATTTTTTGCAACCCTGCACTCAGTTGTTGCTGGTCAGCTGGCTGTGGAAGGTGATCGAAAAGCTTCCTCTGTAACACATCACATCCCACATGTGCTCAATGGGATTTAGGTGATGGGGCAGATGGGAAATTCCCAGGTTTTCTAAACATTGATGGACAACTCTGCCTCTATGAGGTCCAGCACTGTCATCCAGAAATCAATAATCCTTGCCAATGGGATCCCTGGTTTGATGGATGTATCCCTTGGTAATTTCTTGAACATAACGGACTGCGGTGAGGTTGCCTTCAACAATATGGAATCCAGTTCGTCCTCCAGTGTAAATCCCAGCCCAGACCATTACATCGCCTCCTCCTCACTCCACTGAAGGGAACTTGGTCATTGTACGCATCCCCTTCTTTGTAGACACTTCGGAGCCTGCTATCACTATACAGGCAGAAACCCATCAGTAAACATAACAGCATTCCAATTAGTGTTCTCTTCTGGGCGCTCACTGCACCGTAATCTCCTGTTGCTGCAGGTTATCTCAAAGGGGCCTACGATGTGAGGACAACTTCCCACAAATGATAACGAACTTGTATGTGCTTCATTTACGATCTGTCGTGCACTATGGAAAGGTCCTTCCAGCAATGACAATATTTCTGTCCTTCCTTTGTGTCATAATGCACTGTTATCCACTATCAGGCCTCCTATTGGCACTTTACTTGGACCATACTCTGAGAAACATCAACTACCTCCGAGGTATCCACTTGCCGGTGACCTCAATGATTCCTTCTAACAACTTGTACTTCTCATTCAAGATGATGTCTTTCCATGGTTAAAGAGTACAATTGAATTAAAATGCAGAAAAGACGTGTTAGTTTACAAAATGAGTAATCTTCATGTTTACTATTCTTAGGTAAATCTGTTGTTAAAAATAAGGATTAACATCTATTTGTTTTTTATTTGAATTTTCTATTTTGTTTTATCCAACTAGCAAGAATATATCGGTTAATTTAATTAAAATTAATAGAATAAGAATAAATTACTAATATCCCTATTCATTTTTGAGCAGTTTATAATATGTGAATAAAGTAGAATTTTCGTTATCACAATAATTAATACTCTGATTAGGAGGTTGATGATATCAGGCCATAATAAATGTGTAAATAAATATAATTAATAATGCTAGGCTAGCAATTTTTGCTAGATTCGGCTGCCAGAGTTGTGGTGTCTGAACCAGCCAGACGAGAATATAAGTACCAAATAATGCTGCGTTACTACTATGACAGGAAAATATATTTTTACGATGTGTGTGGTGATTAGTGACCGATGTGTTTATAAAGAGTGAAATAAATATACAATTCTGTTCTCCTAAAACTAGTTGGTTTATAAATCGACCTTAAATGTTGTAAATATGTTTAAACAAACGTAGTATATACATGTACATTTTCTGTTTTCAGAATAATATATTTTATTGTAATTCTGTGCATGTAAATACAAAATTAAAAAAAAAAATGCAAATATTCTTGTCTGGCTGGTTCAGACACACAACTTCGGCAGTCGAGTCTAACAAAACTTAGAAACCTAGCATTATTAATAACATTTATTTATTTCTATTGAAAGGACGTGAAATATAAATAAATAAATATAATTAATAATGCTAGGGTTGTAATTTTTGCTAGATTCGACTGCCAGAGTTGTGGCGTCTGAACCAGCCAGACTAGAATATTAGTGCCAAATAACGCTGCGTTACTACTATGACAGACAAATATATTTTTACAATGTGTTTATAAAGAAGGAAATAAATATATATTTCTGTTCTCCTAAAATTAATTGGTTTATAAATCAAATAATGTTATAAATATTTTTAAAAAACGTAGTATATACATTTTCTGTTTTCAGAATAATATATTTTATGTATTATGTAAAAACAGTAATAAATACTATAATAGATGGAAAAAAGGTAAATATAAATTTTTTTAGTTCCGTCCATTTGATTATGGATGGATGTTCAGGGCCGTTTCTGGGCCGCGTGCTGCGCCCCCTGCCGAGAATCGTGAGAATCGGTCGCCTCGGCCACGATTGGCCCCCACTCGCGCACAGCCGACCAATCCGTTGACAACACACAATATCTTGACAATCCCGTCAGCTGTGTGCCAGCCCAAATAAATAGTACAAGTGCGTTTCGGGTGTTTTCATTTGCGTTTGCCAACAGACTGTTTTTAGAAAACGATTCACCGACGCATTCTCTGACGCAATTCGCCCTTTGGACTTACATCGCGACAAGGTGAGAAGTTCGTTACGACGGGGAAAAAGTCGAAAACTGGCATCCACACTCGGCCGATGGACTAGTTTTTACATTTTTCGTTCTTTTTTAACCTGTCTCCCGCTTTATCATTTTTAACTCTCCCAACTTTGCTCCGATTTAAACACAACATACATTTTTTTGTTATTAAAAAACACATGCCCTATTCTATAAAAAATAAAATCGTAATTCTTCAAAATTTCATTTTAATTCTGTTCAATTGTAGTTGAGCCAAATCACAAAATGGGAGACGACGGTATGAATCTATGCGAAAACATCTGGAACCATGAGCTGGCCATGAGAAGACTGCTTTCATTAGTAAGTTTATTTATGTTTTATTTCAACGGAATGGTAGATTTTGTCAGAAATCAGCCTAAACACAGCCAAGTGGAACGGTTTATAAGTCGGTCACACTCGCCTTTCTCTATCTCATTTGTTACAACACTTAATAACAACAAACAAAAAATGCCAATTGATTGAAAACTGACGTGTACTAGCGTTGCGCTATGACAGCAACAAGAAAAAGTTTTATTTATTTAAAATTTAATTATATTTGAAACAATTTCATCCGACACGGATTTATCAAAACATCTCCAGTCGGATTGTGTCCCGTCCGGTTTTTATGTATAACATACATTCAATGTTTAAAACCTTGAAATCCCGTCCTTGAGATTTATCAAAGATAATTAATTTTGTCGTTTAAACTGACAATTTTGCTACTTTTTTCTCGTTTCGTGTTTCTCAATTTTTAATCGAATTGACACACATTGACTATGCAATAGCTGACCAGGAATGAAAGAAAGATGAAATATGGCAGTTTAATTGAGGTCTAACGTCAGCAGAAGTCATTAAATACCAATATTTATATGTAATATATAATATGTTATAATAAATACATTTTACCAAAAAAATTCCATTTAAATCACAGGGAAAAATATTCTTACATTTACCCTTCATTGTACATTGTTTCTACGGTATGGTAGTTGTCCTGGGATGAAAGAAAAATTGAAATATGCCAGTTCAGTTGAGGTCTTCTGTCATCAGAGATCATTAAATACCAATATTTATATATAAATATATTTTACCAAAAAAAATTCCATTTAAAACACAAGGAAACACATTTTTATGTTTACACATCACAGTACATTGTTTCTTCTTATCGAAGTTCCATAGACATAAACCCTTCAACAGTAAAATCAACTTGGAATGTTAGAAAAATATGGTTCAAATGTGAAATTTGTATGCATACAGAAGAGGAGTGAAATGTGTGCTTTTCTAAGTTTTAAACAGAATTGCTTGTGATGCACGATTTAAAAACGAAATTAAGTAACATTATTAAGTCAATTCTCTTTAATTATGAAGTAAAATAGTAAAAAAAAAAGAAGAGACAAAAAATGTTCAAAATGCATTCCGGTGCCTAATGCACTAATAAAAACTAAATAAAAAGGTCTTTTCCACACATTTAAACCACGTTTTTTTAGCATTCCAGTTGATTTTACCATTGAAGTCTTGACATTTGACACCCTTAAAAAATGTTTGTTGAAACACACGTTTGTCTTACACATTACAGTTGATATTTGGTACATCATAACTCTTGAAATTTGTTGATCAATCAGTTGTCAGTTTGAAATCACTATCAACTTCTTCACCTAGAGTGTAGATGATATATACTGCACATACTTTTATTTACAATGTACAATAATCTACAATTAAAAACAAAGTATATAGACATGGTAAAATCGGTCTGCCAGGGATCATTGCAAAATAAAAGTAATGAAAAATTAGAAAAAAGGACTGAAATAAAAATAATAAATATTAATAACATTTTGGGGATATTGGTGCGCCAACGGATAAACGAATAAATAACTTTAAATGTTTTTTTTCTTTCTTTTTATTTCCAAAAAAAAAAGAACGAAGAAAGAAACTAGCACCCTAAAGGTAGTTATGTCCTCTGCTGGGGCAAACCTCCATTAAAAAATTTGATATTTTTGAAATAAAAAATGAAAATTAAAAAATACCCTTTAAAAAAAATAATAGTATACAAATTACAAAATTGTCAAATTTTGTATTTAACAGTGGGATCATTTAAAACACGACAAATCAAGAGATAATGACTAGGGGGACTAAATAAAAATACAGCAAGACTGTAGTGGCTAAAAAAGAGTGAGGTAATTTGATTAAATTGCATTAACAAATAAAATGAGAGTTTGAAGGAGGAAACAGAGAATAGGGAGACTATAAAAAAGCTAAGCATTAAAACTGATGTACCAATTCATTTCTGTAATTTCAGTCAAATTTTTTGGTAAAATAATTATCTTGGGCGGTTTATACCGTTCAAATAAATAATTTAAGAATATTTGATGAATAAGAACAGCCCAAATAGTCGACAAATTTCGCCCAAGAGGACCGTGGTAGCCAAGTGGTCAAATGATAGACTCAGCTCATAGACCTCGTGGTTGTGGGTTTGATTCATGTCACCCCATCCTTTTTTTTTTTTTTTTTTTTTTTTTTTTTTTTTTTTTTTTTTTTTTCAAGCAAACCCCCCCCCCCAGATTGAAAAGTAGTAAAAAATGGCTCAATATTACCCAAATTGCAGAGATTAAACCCGAGACCCCCTATGAATTCAAGCCTAATTTGGATACTGTAATTCACATTTCATTTAAAATAAATTAATAAAAACTGGGGGAGATCCTTTAGGGAGTAATCATTAAAATTATCTTCACGGACATAAAATATAATGAAAATTATTGAATTCTTTACGTAAAGTGTGTCAAAGTGTATAGAAGAATTCATTTTAACACAACAGTATTTGTCTCTATGCTGTTGAGTTATTTTTTATTTGTAAGAGTAGAGAATTTAACTTGCAATTTTGAAAAAAAAAAATTAAAAAAGGGGGAAAATGCTGAACCAAATTACTGAAAAAAATTTCTCGATAATTACCTCGGCCGTTAACCTGGAGATATTTACAGCCGTGGATGTAAGAGATTTAAAAACAAACGAAAAGTATAACTTAAGATATAAATACAAATTTCTCATGACCTCTCCATATAAATCAAGTAATTAGGTGAAAGACTTTCCAAACAAAATAGCATTAGAACTTTCCAGTTGTAAATTTGAAAGGTGTTAATTATGTGCTAATAAATCATTATGAGTCCTGAAGCATATTTCTTTTATAATCTCATCCACGTTTTTTGAGAATAGAACTTTTAGTTTTTCCCTTTCTTTTTGTTGTAGAGTGCATAAGAAAATTATGTGCCTCACATCGCCTTGCATTTGGCATACTGAGCATAACAGGCTGTTGGCTCTTTTGTACATATAAAGGTATGCTGTAAAATGCCTGTGTCCTGTTAGCATTTGCATTACATAAAAATCAGGAAGCACCCAGTTTATTTTTGTTTTCTCCTTGATTGTATGGAAGCATTTAAAAATTGGAGAAGTTTTCCCTCAACTTCTGGCAAGTTAGGCTATTGATTTGTTTATCATCTATAATAAATTTTTCACTAATTTTACACCTCAATTTTTTTAGAAAAGTCAATCGAGAAAGTTGGTTCAAAGTCCGAGTATGACTTGTCCAGTAAATCTTGACTTGTTTATAAGATTCTGAGAAAGAGTCTGAAGTTGTAGAACACTTTTGAATTTTTTTGAAGGCTTGCTTTACGCTTTTCTGTACAAAACTGACCTTTTTATTAACTTAAAACAAATTTTTGAATAAAAATTTCAAAAATACATCATCAGTTCAGAAAAAATCAATACTTTGTACAGTGTATCATTACTTTGTGTACAAGTAACACACAGACCAATTACACGTCTAACAGATAAAATGGCTGTGAGTAGACAGACTGTGATAATAAGAAATAAAATGTCATGTCGCCTGATATTATTGCCAGAATGTTGAGTCAGCATGATTACAGCGATCACACTATGGTCGATTAAATTTGTTGCACAAATTAGTGCATTTTAAAATGTTGCAGAAAATACTTTCTTTTCATCTCATCAAGTATGTATTATTAACTTAAAAAAGAAAAATTATCGTGTTTAACTTGCTTGGACAGCTTTTAAAAGTTTTTGTGTGTATTTTATTACTTTTAAAACAAATGTACATTAAAGATCAAAACAGCACAGCAATTTTTATTTGTTATTTTTTAGCTAAGGAATTCACAGTCAGCATGCACAGATGCAGAATGTTTCCAGTTCAGTGAGTTCATTTTCTTTCTGTTATATGCTTGGATTTGTTAACCCTTTTATCAATTCAATATGACACGTCAGGTCAACCGAACACTGGAGACAACGGTGTCATGATGATGACACTGTGCTGGTTGGCGATCGCCTTTTTTCTCTACATGTTTCGTCCATCCTCACTTCGCAACCAAGAGCATGACTTAAAACCCCATAACAACGGAGGAAACGTAAGTTGTTAATCGTATTACATGACGTCGGTAAGTTAAAACAGCATTTTGTCGTTTCAGGGTGAAGGCAGAGACCCACCAGCTTCTCCGAATGCTTTCTAAATGTTACTTGATCGTCTTTCAGTGGAAAATGTTGCCTGTTGCAGCTGCACCCACAGAAATACATCTCTTTGAATTAATACTGTGTTTTATATTCATATATATATATAATCATAATCGAAAGCATATTTTCATACCCTATATTCATTTTAATATAAGCTTTATTTTTTAAACATTTTTTTCTGGGTATACAAGGGCATATATGTAACAATTGCACACCAAAAGTCAACATGCTAGAAATATATATTAAACTCCAATAAATAAAGCTTGTTTGTTTTTTGAATTTTTCTTTCTATTTGGCTTAATATTTTCTACAAATAATTTTTAGTTAATGGGATTTTGTTAGCTAAAAGAAATAGACATAGAGAATGAAAAGGGTGTGCACAATCTTACAGTATAAATTTATACATTCCCTTTTTATGGATTATTGTTAGATGTTTTTCATTGAGACTTGATCTGATTTTATGGTTTGTTGAGGAGATATATATATTTAAATTATGTGTAAGTTTGTATGTATACTATTGCGATTTCTGTTTATTATATTGTGAAATTGTTTAAAAGATAATATTTTTCATCAGGATTGTATATAGAATTTGTTAAACATCACAAAATTCAGTATTATAACTAGAAATTTTTTTTTATTTATTAAACAATTATTATAGTAATGCAATTATGTTGTAAATACATAAATGTACCAGTACGTATTTCTTATGTATTATAAGAATTAATACTTGTTATAATTTTGTTTTCAAAACTAACACTGTGATTGAAAAAAAATGGTTTTTTTTTTGGGGGGGGGGTGTGGTATAAAAATGTAATTCATAATAAAGTTGGTGCTCGGCAATTGATTTTTACAACTACCGAACAAATATAAAAAAAAAGTGTGTATCACATAAGGGGCATAGTAAAATCATATCTTAATTTTAAAGATCTCTTTCTGTTCTTACATTTGTTCGATTTTTTGTTAAAAAATTATTTGTCCTTCAGCTATTATTTTGAAGAAGTGATTTCTATTGGGTGATAGTATTACGAGAAGAGAATAATATTAAAGCGTCAGTTTTTTTAGTCTTCCAAACTCCCGCTCAGTCGTAATAACGTCACATTCTGAAAGAAGGAATATTTTTTTCATAAATACTATGGAAAAAAATCTATTTTATTTTTCATAACATTAATGACTGTTTACTTGAAAATTATTGAAAAGAACTAGATATGACTGCCACACTAATTTAATAATAATTTTTATTTTCATATATTATTGACTGAACTGTAGTTCCTCTATTAGACACGGAAATAATATTCCAACCTCTTGACCAATACTAATCTAATCCATTTACAATTTAAAAAAATAAAGATAAGCGTTGGACCTATTCAACAGAATTGAGAGTTCAAGGAATGATAACATGGTTTTCTGACAAGTCTTCCCACTCTCACCCAACTGGCAAATTAGGTCATGTTCACAGTGACAATGCCTGAAATACAAGGAAACAATTTGATTGTTTCATGCCTTGAATCCAAATAGTGTGTTAGGTTTCATTTGACGTGATTGACTCTGTAGTACATAAATATGAAATAAACTAGTTTTAGTACAAGTCTAAAGTAGTACAGTCTAAAACTTATAAATGTTCTACAGACAAAAGAAATGCTCAGTTGTCCTTAAGGTTAAGCCCTATAAAAAGAGCAATTGTTTTGTTTCATAGGAGCATTTCTGAGTCTTGTTCTGGGAATGGCAAAAGGTCTGAAAGACTAGACTAGCAGTCCAAAAACTAACTACAGAATCGTATATTCCTTATAAATTTGGACTTGGAATAATGCTTCATAAAGTATTTGCTCTAAATGTGCCTCACTGTATTTCTAGATGATTAAATGTGCCACTTTGGATGATACTATATGATGGTTCTTTCAATATGAAAAACCATTAAAAAGTTGTCAACATGTAATTATTTTTTGCTATAAACCCAAATTAATTAACAGGGGTGTTGGTCGCAATGGTTTAGGTGTTGATACGGCGTTCATCACTGTAAGGAAAAGGTCCCGGGTTAAAATCTAGTGGCCCTGTATTTGAACCTGACATACTTACAAATGGGCTTTTTTTTCCAAAAACACCCCTCATATTTGAAATACCCTTGTAAAAAAAAAAAAAGAAAAGAAAAAACCTGAATCAATTGGTGCAAGAATTAAGCTCTTAATCCTCAAAATAGCAAGAAAAATATTTAAAAAATAAAAATTACAATACAAATATTTCAATTAAAAATTCTTTTAATCTAATGTGTTAGTCGAGATGAAAAAGCTATCACTAGTGGGATTCAAACCGCTAGCTTTTTCATCTTGACCAAGACCTTAGATAAAAATGAAAATTAATTGAAGTAATTGACCGCTAAACATATATGGATTAATATAGTAATTAAAGAAGTAATAATCCCTGTGGCCTCTTCATAAGTCACTAAGAATCAAATCCTGATTACATGACATTTGAAAGATGGCAAAAAGATTTAAAATTCAAAAGGTAGGTTGAGATGAGGAGTTGGTGTCCGAATGGATCGAAGTTATGATAGCTCATGTGGCTAGAGCAGGGGCATATTTAGCTGGTCGTGGGTTCGTGACACTGATTTTTTCATCTCAACCAAGGCCTTAAAAAAAAGAATAAATTGAAATAATTAATATAGCCAAACATGACCGCTAAACATATATGGAATAAGAACTTTTTTTTTTAAAGGTTTTTTTAAAGTTAGCAAATATAGGATGATAAACTAGTTCCTAAAATTTTATTTGAAGTATAAAACATTGTTTTCACATGGTGCATACACGTTGAATTCTTCAGAATTTAAATCGTTACACATCTACTTTATGATTACATTTTAAACACTATTATAATTCATCTATATTTTATAATAGTGTACTATCATAGTGTACATATAACTGAACAGATTAATATATCATTAATTAATATACTGCAGATTTAATTAATTTTGTATGACATCCCAAATAAAAAAGGGTTAATCATTGTAAGTGATAAAATATGCTAAAAATATCCAACAGATCACACATAATTATTTATCAATTATGACTACTTTAACTAAGACTCCTTGCGCAAAAATGACATTATCTTTTTGATTTATTTATTTTTAAGTAAATGCTCCAAACTGAAATAAATTATCAACATGGAATCAACTTCTGATATTTTCGTTACCTGTAATTTTTGTTTTTAAATGCCTACACTCATCATTAAATTTTCCTTTCATGATAATCTAAGACTATTATCTATAAGATATATAAGACTACTGTCTATAAGATAATTTGACTTAACATACCATGTTTAGTGGGGGTTGAAATATAATAGAAAAATTAGAAACGATGTGATCTCAATTTTATTTAACTATACATGAGTATGTACATGCTAGTATCAATTTAAACAAAAAGCTAAAAAGCAATTTCAACTAAAAAAAACTACAGTTAGATAAAGTGAATAATTATTTTAAACATAACAAGGATCAAAAATGGCAAATATAAAAATTCGGGGTGGAAAAATAAGAGCAGTTTCCTCTTAATTAACTTAAGACTAGCATAAATGCTCATTCAAGGCCAAATGAGAGACAATTTAATTTAATTTAAAACAGAGGAGTATAATAACCATTGCTCCAGTTAAGTTCCTCCATTTATCGTAAGCCGTAACAAACAATAAAAATAAATTTCGTCAATAAAAGACCTTGAAACCGCTTTAAAAAGTCTATTTCTAATTTTCCAGTTATCGTCTAACTACGGCCTCCAGGCCCTCCAGCCATGGCTGTATTTGGTCCCAGCAACACCTGTAGAAGAATTACCACATTAAATTAAGCTGTTTATAAAAATTTAAAAACATGTTTTCTCTCTCACCTGTTTTTGTTGGGTCCTTTGAGCTTCTTCGACCTGAGCCCTTTCGACTTCAAAAAGCACTGGTGCAAACAAAATTGCTGATGAGCTGAAGAATATCCAAAGTGTAGTTCTCGACAACGAATACAAGTCTGCAGGAAGATTTTAATTAGCAAACAAATAAATAAATAATGTAACGATGGAACTTACATTTCAGACTGGATTTTGTCCCACAGTATAATGACATTGTCGCACTCCGCACGCCCTCTGGGAACATTTCCGTCAGCCCCCAGAGTCTCTCCCCCAAGGTTTCATCATCTGACTGGGCAATAAGTAGAAATAGTTAATTCATTAATATAGGAGGCATCATCATAAATAAATTGATGTATGGTGGGCTGGTGCAAAAATAGTGCAGGTTTTTAAAAGACAGTCAAAACTATTTTTAATTTTTATAAAATAAAGAAAGTTTAATAAAGTCTTGGAAGACATTTTCAGCTTCACTGCATTCTATAACAAATTTATACTTCAAGAAGTGATCAAAATGCCTCAAAAAGAGGAAGTACGTAGGCGAGATGTCAGGTTTTAAAAAGGAGGATGTGTAAGGTTTCATATCCTAAGTCCTTAAGTTTCTGCAGGGTTGGCATTGCGACATCTGGCCTGGTGTTTTTATGAAGAAGAATCGGCCCCTTATGGTTTACTAATGGACAAAGACGTTGCACTTTCCCGTGCATTTTGTCAATTTCTTGGTAATATTTCTCTGCTGTGATTGTTTTACCATAATACAGGAAATTTTAGTGAACAATCCCAACAGTGCACCACCAAATTGTCACCATAACCTTTTTTAGGTGCAAATTTCAAAGCGTTGATTTCTTTGAGCTTCGGTTAGTTTGTTCTTCTTTACTATACCAATTTGCTCCAGACAGTGAACAACAGTTGAGTGGTCAACACTAACTTCTTCCAAAATTTCCCATGTTCTCTTTCGTGAATTTTCTTGAAATAACATTTTGAGTTCAATGTCCACAACGGAAAGTCTACAGCGACCTTCATTCTCGAGATCGAAATCTCTGAAACCATCGCTGCACCGTTTATTGTAGCAATGCTTCCCCCCCCCCCAAATTGTATTGATGTTCATGTGGTCTGAGCCCCACTTTTCCAAGTTTAAATTTGTACAAATAAATCTGACGAAAATGTAGTTTGGACATATTTAATTTTGCAAGCCTTCACTCTTATAAAATTCAATATAAACTAAAATGTTTTGTGTAAGAGATAACAGTTGAGAGTGTTATTATACTCCATAAATTAGATCTGCGGATTTAGCTTAGTGACAAGCACCTGCGAAAATAAAACAAATTTTCAAAAGCTGCATTAATTTTGCACTAATATATATCAAAGGGTTCTAAAAACACAGTTCAGGGATGTCGGTGAGCTTGACATTCAACACTAAGGTAATGGTTCTAGGTTCAAATCCAGCAGATTTGCATTCGAACCAAACTTACTTATAAATGTAAAAGAGTGCAGCTTTTTAGCAGCTCAACAAACGAATCCAGCCTGTCAAGCAAAATATCTGAATGCGACAAACCCTGGATATGATGACTGTATACAAAATGGACGGTGCAGACGAGTAGTAGGATCAAAGGAAGCGAAAACCAGTGAACACCGGTGAAAGGTTTGATTTAAGTTGAAATGAGGAAAAAAATTAGTAAGAAGGGAATGATCTAGGTCCTTTTAAAAAATTGAGAGACCAAGAATGAAGACTCTTGAAAGGTAGAGCTAGTTAATCATCTGGATACTACAAAGACAGTGGCCAATGGTTATTTTCCCAAACGATATTAAATAAATTTACCGGATATGATCAATAAAACCAAAATTGAATTTTTTTAGGGAATGAATGTAGAAAATGGCTTCTGTATGTAGTCAATAACTTTTTTAAAATCATATTGCCAGTGATGAATAAGTAATTGCATTATGACAAACTGAATAATGGAATCGTAATATAACTAAAGCAAAGCTTTCATTGAACTATTCTTACAAAGAAATTACTGTGTAAACGTAAAGTTTGTTAAAAGCTCGTAGAATCCAGGCTTCCTAGGATGTGTGGAAAAGTAATAAGCAATGGGCTTGATCGAATGTGGTGTTTCGTCAGAATTTTTGATCCGTGACTTTTTAACTATCGATCTTTTGACTGTAACTGGCTTTTTTTGGCACCCGAAACACTTTTTGTCTTTTGATTGTGGGTCGTTTTATTTTGTAAATCACCACGAGGCGAGTTTTTGGGAAAAGGGTTCGGAGCCGACCGGGGGTAGAAAAGTGGAAAATAAATCGACTTACATCGTCGTCAAAGCAGCTGGTCCTCTTTTTCTCCGGGGTCACATCTTTACTGCTATCAGGCATCGAACCCATACCGCTATCCGATTCTTCACCACCTGCCATAAGTCGAGGATTAGAAATATTCCGGTACGGACTCGAACGGTCGTGGTCGGAGCTCGGGGAAAAACGCAATCGGCGGAATTTGATGTGGAAATTAAATTCGGCACCTCCGGGGTCGGAAAAGTCGCGAGAAATTCGGAAATTTCGGAAGTTTACTCTACGGGCAAAGAAAGCAAAAACCACTCTGCGCCTGCGAATTCCTCGACCACTCCGACCACATACAATGTTGTCCTTACCATTTTATTTAATTTTTACACATTATTTTAACGTAATGCACTTTTTCTTTTATTACTTTTAATAAACAACAAATAATTAATTACACGTATAAAAATTATGTTTAAAAAGTACCAATAGTTAGTTTCGTTAAAATATCGGAGGGGCGCCCAACCACCTTTTGAAATTTTCGCCCCGTACTTTGACCTAGAGCTCCAATCCAGCCGGGCCGACGCTCCAGTTATTTTATTTACTTTTTATTAATTTATTTAATTTTTGTTATCAGTCTAGTAGACCATATTTTATTTATTAAATTTGCTACTGTCAAAAAGCTGAATAATTTGGCAATATTTTCTTCGTTGTCTCCTAATATTTCACACTGCGTATTCGGGAGAAAATAAAATTTCTTAAGTAATGATATATGCAACATGATAGTAAAATATGTTTTGTTATTTCATTGCAAGCTCAGAATGCAGGCGGAGGGTCACGGGCCATTAAATGAACCTTGGTGGTCCGGCTATGTCCTATTCTCAACCTACTGAAGACAATCTCCTCCCTTCTCTTCAACCTATAAGACGAAGGCCATGCCTGCATGGTAGACTTGATTTCGCGAAGCTTGTTGTTTGTAACTAAATGCCAGGTTTTTTGCCATTGTAAATTTATTTTCTCCCTAAATGCAGCAAAGAGGTCATCCTTGCTTACTTCCACAACATGGTTTCCTTGGCGGCCATATCTGCTCTCTCATTGCCAATGAGCAGGAATCCAGAGAAAAAATACTCTTTTCCCTTGCTGCTCAAGACGTCTCAATGATTACAATAGATCCTGTACCATAGGCTTCTTGCGGAAAGTATGATTAAGTGTTTGCAGGGCAGCCATGGAGTCAGAGCAAGTAACCATTATTTGTTCGTCTGGATGGATAACGTTGAGGGATTTATTTATGGCTATCATTTCGGCAATAGTTGCTTGCTAGGGTTTTTAATGAAAATACATATTTCATTTTTCCACAGATAATTGCAGCTCTAAAAACATTTAAAAGCGTCATTTTGTATGATCAGGTTATATGATGGTACGCTAATGGATCTAGAACACAAAAAGGTACATGTGCAGTAATATTCGGCCCCAAAATCAAATACTTAAATACATTGGGAAAGTACAACAGTTTCAAGCTGAAATCCACACAATCGAAAGATGTACTCAATTTTATTTAAATGGAAGGTATAAAAAGGACATAATGTAGGACAGCCAGGCAATTCAGAGCATTAAACTCAAACATTATTAGCCCAAGGATGGTACTGAATTGCAAAACTTAAAGGTTACACACTACTGGGTACCTACTGGCAAGACATTGAAAGAAACAAACAATATAATAGATCAAACAAATCAGGAAAAGACTTCGAATCCAACTGGATTCTTAATGGAAAACCCGAGGAATTTTGATATTAACTACCACAGTGCTGCAGAAGCAGAATAAACTCCAACGCACCTACTAAACTACTGTCGCGCTACACTTTCGCAGGAGGAAAATTCTTTGGGATGTATAACGTAACCATAGAATAAATACAACCAATAAAACGGCCTAATAATCAAATTCCTCGATTAATTAAGACTTATCGGTGTGTAGGTACAGAACCGTGGATCGTTTAGCTCTTAATGTGAACGTCATGCCAAATTACACAGAATTTTTATATTAACTATGATCAGTAGAAATGTTGAATAAAAGACGGAACAAAGGATCGTCTGTGGGACTCCGATCTTAACAGGATAGTAGAGATAGATGTTACGTAGCTGAAAGAAGCTGGGTCGGGTTAAATCGAAGTTGGAAGTAGGTGAAGGAAAAAATGCCTTGAGCTTCCACAGTAAACAAGGGCCATATCAAAGGAACACTACGTCAAAGAAACCCCCAAGCAGTACTGTTTCTGCTATTATTACGATATTACAGAAACGTCAAAGCTAAATATATCACCGCCAGACCAAAAGAGGCACCACAAAAACCCTTAAGTTAGATAGTGAACTATGTGCATGTAGGTGAGCTCAACATTTCTATCTAATGGACTTAGCGCAAAAGGCTTTTTAGCGACCTCAGCGACGAAAAACCTAATCTAATGTGAGTAAAGCTCACGTTATAAAACTAACACTGAAGCATTTAAAGTTCTAAACTTTGCCGACGTTTCTAACACAAGACTTGCAAGATTTATGTACTTAGGCACCTGATTCTCATAGCTAAAGGAAAATCGTGCAGCAATCAAAACTTCAGTATTCAAGAATTGTCGCTAAAGGAAATTCTTTTATTAGTCTTTGTTGAAATTTACTGTAATGGAAAACCCTTTTCTTATTTTTGATTCGGCCCGCTTACCTTATATCTTTCAATCGAAGCTAAACCACGTTTCTGGCGATCCGCGCTCTCCGAAAATTTTTATACTGCGAAAAGTAGTTTTGAAAGGATATCTTAAAAAATTCTCTATTGTCATCCATGTGTTGTGTCTTATTGGTTACAAAAAACAAAACAAAAAAACAAAAACAGAAACAGAGTCAGCTGTCAGAGTGGCTCAGGCCTCAGAGAACCCTGTGCACAAAATTCACAAGGATTTCCAAATTTTCAAGGAAAATTCTTTCAACTGATGCCTCAGTGGGTTTTCAGTCGAAACTCGTACAGCTCTAACTTACCTGAAAGTTAAATTCTGTGTCATTCGAGATGAAATTCGGAGTCGCGCGATAATTTTTCCTCTCCTACATCCGATTTAAGATTTCACCTCGATTTTTCACAGACAGACAGTCACATTTAGAAATTTAGCAAAATTGGAATACACGCACTCACAATTTGTTACCGATTGATATACCTATCACAGTAAACTACATATGTATAACTTTTTTTCTGACTCTTTTACTCCATGTGCAGATGAGAACAAAATTGCTGTTTGAGACTATAAAAAAATTCAAATTTAAATCTAAATATTATTATTATAAATACTGGTTTTTAAGAAAACGATTTATGAAAAATACCTTTCACTTACATAAGTGTTATAAAGATAAAATATACGTGAGAAATACGTACCAAAAATACCGATAAGATGAAAATTTAGCGGTCAAATTTGACATTTAAGATCTTAACACTTGGGAATTACTTAATTTGGTTGCTGTTGAAATAAATGTTTTATTACTCATTTAAAAAAAAGAAGAAAGGATCTTTTCTCCCAGGGAAAATCACACTTACCAAGGGTTAAATTTGGCTTTCATAAAAATTTAAGGGGCACATTTCGAAATTGCAAGATATTAAAATAAAAGGGAAAAACGCGAACATATGTAGAAAAAAGAGGGAAATATTTTTGTTTTTGTTCTACCCGTCTCATCAGATGAAGCCAATGAAATATTGTCATTGCTGCAAGACGGAACCATTTCCATAGTGCCAGTCAAATCATAAACGAAGTACAAGATGTTTTGGCAAGGTCTTTATCAACACAAACAATTTGGGAAAAGTTGGCCTCAGATTATATGCTCTTTGAGACGACCAGCAGCAACAATCCACCACCATTCAGGAGAATATGGTGCAGCGAGCGCCAAGAAGAGAACACTAATTGGAATGCTGTTGTGTTTACTGATGAGTTGAGTTTCTGTCTGTATAGTGATAGCAGGCGCCGAAGAGTCTACCCAGAACAGGGAATGTGTACAATACCCCAGTTCGTGCTCCCTTCAGTGCAGTTTGGAGGAGGCTGTGTAATGGTATGGGCTGGGATTTACACTGGAGGACGAACTGGACTTTCTGTTGTTGAAGGAAATCCAACCGCAGTCCATTATGCCCAAGAAATTATCTAGGAATACCAGAAATCTCATTGTTAGGGATTTTCGATTTCTGGATGACAATGCCAATCTCATAGAGGTAGAGTTGGTCATCAATGTTTTCAAAATCTGGAAATTTCCAGTCTGCCCCTTCCCCCATTGTCTTCAGACCTCAATCCCATTGAGCATATATGGGGTGTGTTGCAGAGAAGGCTTTTCGATCACCATGCGCAGCCAGGTGACCTGCAACAACTGTGCTGCGTTACAACATCCATGGAGTGAAATTCCTTATGAAATTAGTGACAACCTTATTAACAGAATGCCTAACAGGTGTACAGAGGTTTTAGCTAACAGAGGACATTATACACAATATTAATTATTTACAAAAAATTGTTGTGACCAATAAACAAAATTTTGGAATTAAAACCTTTTATTTTGTTATTTTTCTAAAATCCCTTAATTAAATTTTCCTTCAGTAAAAAAAATTCTAATAAATTTTAACGCAACTTATAATAAAAATACAATAAAAATTCTAGGAAAAGTAAATACTACAAAATTGGCAATATCACTATTCATTTTTGAGCAGTTTATATAAATAAATACGCACAGAGCTGTTTTGAGGAAATTATTAGTCATACCGATGTTGCTTGGTGTATTCTGAGTTGATTAACCGTTTATTTTAAGGTGGAAAATGAAAAAAAAATTATAAAAACTTGAACTCAATTGTAAGTACAATTTGAAAGTTGAGCTTTCCGTTGTTCTTTCACAGTTCGGTAGCTATCCGAGAGAGCGGTGCTGGCGACCACCGTTATCGATAACGGTGACATCACATGTTTTGGAAATTCTACAACACAAATTTGACTGCTGAGGTGTTCGAAAATCTGCAGGAACGAGAAGGTCGCGATTTTTTTAATTTTTGTGGCCGTATGCGTCACCCGAAAGGGAGGGCGAACCGCAGTCAAACTACGTCCATCAAATCCTCGCGAGCATATGCCACATCCGCAGACGTGCTGGAAATGAAATAAAGCTGGCCATCATCGAGATCTGAAAACGCGATGGAGGGCGTCCTCCTCAAATGGACCAACTACTGGAACGGTAAGTCCTGGACCGATCCGCATATTTCCAGTCGTGACAACATTGCTTTGCAGGCTGGCAGACAAGGTGGTTCGTCCTCAACGACGGCATCCTCTCCTACTACAGGTCGGCCGAGGAGGTCAACCAAGGCTGCAAAGGATCGATGAAAGTTTCAGCAATAGAAATCACAGGTATGTTCGCACCGTACATTTCAATAATACCATATGCAATTTGTTATTTTATGTTTAGTAAACCCTGTGGATAATACGAGGATGGATATATCCATACCGGGTGAGAAGAACATGTACCTCAGAGCACCATCCTCGCAAGAACGCCAGCACTGGCTCGTAGCGTTAGGCAGTTCGAAGGCATGCCTTACTCATTCGAAAAGAAAAGAATCAGGTATATGAGAAATCTTTCTAACTTTTGATTATAAATCTCTAAAATTCCCATTGTAGTTCCCGATTCATCGCCTGAAGCGCTAAAGACAAAAAAATTCGAGCTGAGGCTCTACTGCGACCTTTTGATGCAACAGGTGCATTCAGTCAAAACTGCTGCTAGTCAGGAATCCGGACCGGATGTCGAGGTGATACTAAACACCTTAACCTGTCTCATCCGTTGCTCATTAAAGTTTCTTGCAGCACATTCTGGAGGGTAGCAAATTGCTGTCGGCGACTTGTGACACTTTTATAAAAACGCTTGAGGACTGCATGAAGCTCTCTAGCATGGCCATCTCAGTTCAAGAGAACAATTATAAAAATGAAAATGAAATTAGAAACGTAAATGTTTATCATGAACTATTTTGAATATAATTTTAGTATTTGAAAGTTAAATAATTCTGAAATTTTCAGCTAAGTCAACCCACTGTACCAGTTATGAGAATGAATTCCACAGAGAAGTAAAAATTATAAGATTTTATATTATGCTAGAAACAATTATTAATTTATTACTTTATTTCAGAAAAGCCTGACTAAAAAAGAAAGAATTGTCCTGTTTTAGAAGGCATGCAATGTTATTATTCTTTTATTATACTCCATACTCAGATGTACATAAATTTACAGTAAATTTACCCAACTGTACTGTACGGATCTTTTTATGATTTTTTTAAAATATGCTTTTGTGATTTTGGATATATATAATATACTCTATATGTTGTTAACAATTGTATTTTTTAATAAACATTAGTTACCATTTGTCATTTTATTTATTTGTAATACTTAAAAAAAAAAAAATTGATCTTGCTAATATTAAAATGAAATATTTGCAATGAAAGGATGTAGTAGTCAACTTGGCAAGTTGTCCAACAGTTCTTTCATTTCAATGTTGGTTTCCGCTTTCAGCTTCCGGCTGTCGAACGTTTTCGCTGGCCTTCTTTTACCAAATGTGAAAGAAGGCAGAGCCGGCTTGGGAGGGCTCTGGTTGGCGCCACTTTCCACTTCCACTTCCATCGACTCACTCTTCTTTTTCTTCATGGGCTTCGTCTTCTTAGCAGTCCTGGTTAAATCAAAAAGAACATGAGGAATTAATTAAGAATGCATATGGGTGTTTTGACTGACTGTATTTGCTTAGTATAAAAATTATCTGGAATCAGGTCAATATTAGAAAGGAAAGCTTACTCAGTTCTTCATCAAAGTGACAGATCTACCTAATATTGTCTAGTCAGGCAGTTATAAAGGCACTAAATACATTTGAGAGGGACCACGGTAGCCAGTGGTCAAAGTGATAGACTCGCTAATAATGATTTTAGTTCTAATCTACAAAGTTACCTTGTGATTGTGGTACATGAGGGTATAAGGAGACAAACTTGCATAACAAGTAGCGTTCTTACGATACTAGAGCCACAACTCTCAGCCGGCAAGACTTGAGGAAACTTATAAGCTTCTATACCCACTCCTCTTTTAACAACCTGCTAAAGAGGATGGGTAAAGGAGAGATATAAACATGCGGACTCAGTGAGTAGAAACCAAGTTTTGAGGGATAAGTGCACTTTCCACACCCCAAGCTCCGCAATTGACCTGAATAAATTACAGTGGAGAAATAGTCCTTACAAAATCCCTCCCCCCCAAAAAAAAAGAAAGCATTATTGACTTAATTATATTACAGTACTATCAGATATCAAATTTATGGTAATTCCATATCTAATTGGAATGTTTATGATATAGACTCGATCATTATTGGTCTATTGTGCAACTCCATTGTTGTCTAAAGCATTTAATTAAGCTTAATGTCTTTTACCAGAACCCAAAGCTTTTTCAAGGACTCCCATTTGTATCCTTCAGACCCGGGCTTTTTCTCTCCCAGGAGTGGGAATCAGCCTAACCATCACACAAACAGAGGACAAGTTCCACTGTTTCTTCTTCTTCCTTGCCTGTATCTCCTTCCTCAGTTAACATTGTTTGTTGAATTCTAGTCATACCACCATATTATAGTCCTAATATGTCCTAGATTTAGTTTCTGCGACAGTCTTTTGATGAAGATTTTTGCATGCTTCTGTCTTGGGTGGTTCCATTAAACCATAGTTTTAGTCAATAATCTGATGGATCCACGTTTTTGTCAGTTTGGTATGTTTGACCACCAGATGGTACACTATATACATTGGGTGTGTTAACCTATGTGTCTTTGGTTTCACCACCTACTGTTTGACCAAGTTACTTTTGGATCTTATGTTTAGCCATTTCTTTCCTTTCATTTTCTATCTAGTGAACAAAATACTTTCTTATATTACCAGTGCATTGTATTTGCCATTCCAAATATAAAATTACCCGATGATATTCTGTTATTCCTTTTAAGGTTAATGATAAGAGATATCATTTTTTTAAAAGTTAGTATGAAGCTGTCTGCTATAATTAGTTTATTGCTAAAATGATAAAATAGGAACCTTGGGTCTGATGTAAACTTGAAGTCATGTGGGAATTTATGCTCTTCTATGCAGTGTTTTTTCCGCTCCTTTGCATCCTTGCTTACAACACTGCACGATTCGACAAAACAGACATACTGGAAAACATGAAAAAGTGAGAAAACTGTAAATAGTGGGATTTTCTGTTGTATACCATTGGTTTTCTCTCAGCTTGAGCTTTGAAAAACGAATCGTGAATTTCGGAGAGGTGCAAGTCAAGGAGGTGTGGAGAAATGAATTGTTTTTTGCATTCCGAACAAGAGAACCGATGACAAGAATTGTAGTGCATGTCATAGCTGAGGAGGTTGTCGAATTTGGCAGAACAGTTGATAACTTCACATGTGAACATTTTCAACCTAGGTGTAAAAAAAATTGAGTGTTTCTTTAAAACATGAATTATTTAAAAGTACTCACTGTTCATGGCACAAGAACTCATCATCTTCATCTACGATCCCAACTCTTGTGTAAACGCGGCATATTTCGTTCCCTTCATCAAAGAAAGGATCATCGACACTCCTTGGAATGTTTGTTCCATGGTTTTTGAGAAAAGTGAGGATTTCACTAATATCCATTTTTTGCTTTGTAAAGTTAAACTGTAACACAAAAACAAAGTAGAATAATTAAAAACAAATCTTGTATTAAATACACAACTATCCCCAAACTAAAGCTAACAATAAGATGGCATAAATTTATAAAATATTTTAGGATTTTCGGCATAATTTTCTGATATAAATTATTACCTTAGCTAATTGATTTATTAAAAATGTTATAAAAATCGTCATTGTTAACATGTTACCAACCACCTGACCACCAATGTGTATTTCTTTTTTTAAAGAAAATGTTTGCAGTAATCATAATCTATATAAAAATAGCAATCTTTTTGCTAATCATCAAAATGACATTTTCCTGATGAGATAGAAAATAAGTGTTTATCGAATGGCCTATCAATGGTTAATCTCCTAAAAATAACTCTAACCGATAGTATAATTTGTTCTATAAAATTATTTAATGGGTGGATTAAATAAAAAACGGTATTATATATTAAACATTGTATTTAGTAAATTTTAGGAAACATTAAAAGCGATGTATTTTAATGTTTAATTTTTTCATAGCAATACACTAAATATCAATTCTTTTAAACATACAAATCACATATTCGTTTGTGTGCTTCCAAATTGAAGGCTTATGGTAAAAAAAATACATGTAGTATATATGTGAGAAGTTTCATAATAAAAATTTATACTTTTTAGTTAAAAAAAGTTTGATAAAAATCACACAATGCTCTTAAAATAAATACGAATTTTAATTAATTATATATTTAAAATTTACAACCTTAAAACTAAGATTTGTTGGCCATCACTGAGCAGAATACGCAATGGATTTTTGTACAACATCAGACTTTTCTCTCTGAATTACATTTATGATAAAACAATATTTACATTTTTATAGTACAATTAAAAAGTTAGTGTTATATAAGATTATGTTCGGTTTTGTAAAGCATGCAACGGAGTTTAGCGGTTTCATCGCTTAAGGCGGCGACTTGGTATTTTAGCCTGAGGTTCTCTTGTTCGAGGAAGGCAGCGCGGATGGCGATCTCGTCCTCCTTGGCTCTACGGGCATCGCGCGACCTTTTGGCAGCTTCGTTGTTTTTTCGCCTTCTCTCCCAGTAGGCTGCGTCTTTGTCATCTGTCTCACCGCCGCTGGACGAAGGTTGCTGGGGGCTGTTTGGCCTCTTCTTGGCGCACTTGCTGCTCCGTACCTGGGCGAGCATCTGTTGCCGGAATTGAACGTAGGCTTCATTGTTCGAGGACGAGAGGGACAGCGGGTCTTTGGGGTACGCCTTGAAAGGCCTAGTCCCTTGGGGTGTGTTCGCCGCCTCCAGAACCCTCTGTGTTATGGCCATCGTCGGAGAGACAACGTTCATAGGCAGAGGAGGAGAAATTGAGCACTCGCTCTTTGGTGATGACCAGCCATCACTCCCTGCTTTCCCTGTCCGTAAGTCCAGAACACCTGGGAAGTTCATCCTGCAGTCCAATGGTTCATGTAATCCAAGCATTTTATTTCCAATTCTATAAAAAAAAGAACAACATAAGAAAATTCATCGCTTTAAGTTCAATTACTACAATTTAGGACTACACAAACAACAGTCAACACATAAATATGCCTGGATGAAAATAAGTTAATGCTACCTACCTAATTTATCCATTTCTTTTAACGGTTTATTTAAAAATGGATTTTATGCCATTGAAAATAGTAAAATATACTATTTAATCTAACGTTTATTTAGAAATCGTGAGATGCGGTCTGGTGTGATGTAGATTTCAGAAAAACATTTTCTTTATCGTGCCAACGTTTCGATCTTTATTGAGATCATCTTCAGGGCCTGGGATTTACAAAAATTGTTTACATATAACAATTACATTTTGGATGTGGAAAAGTGAATTTATACAATGCAAAATATATTTTTTTATATATTCAATCAAAGTATTTCTAAAATATATTTTGCATTGTATAAATCCACTTTTCCATATCCAAAATGTAATTGTTATATGTAAACAATGTTAGTAAATCCCAGGCCCTGAAGATGATCTCAATAAAGATCGAAACGTTGGCACGATAAAGAAAATGTTTTTCTGAGACCTACATCACACCAGACTGCATCTCACGATTTCTAAATAAATATCGATTAACGGTCACTAATCACCACACATTTAATCTAACATTAAGGGATTTAAAAAAACTAAGTAGCTTTTCTTGAGTGATCCTGCACAGACATCGAATGGCTTGGTAGTTAATAAATTAAATTTTTTTCAAATCTCACTGGCACTCTCAACACGACACGTCAGAATGGCACAATTACACAGAAGACAAACACTTTGAGTGAGTAGAAATACTTTGATTGAATATAAAAAATATATTTTGCATTGTATAAATTCACTTTTCCACATCCTAAATGTATTTGTTAAATGTAAACAATGTTTGTAAATACCAGGCCCTGAAGATGATCTCAATAAAGATCGAAACGTTGGCACGATAAAGAAAATGTTTTTCTGAAACCTATATCACACCAGACCGCATCTCACGATTTCTGAATAATTTAAAGTTTTTGTTCAAATTCCAGCATAAAAAGTCTGGACCACTTCCGATTTTTCCTACCGTGAAAGCAGTATTAAATAAAGGGCCAAGGGCTCACGAGGGAGGAGCAGATGACCCTTTTTTATATTAGTTTCTACAGGACTATTAGGTAACATAAGAGGGGGTGACAGATTACGTGGGAACATCTTTTACATGCCGAAGGGGATGACAATGCTTGTCATGTATCTGCTGCAAGTTGAGGTGGTTTAAGGATGCATATCTACTTCTGATAGACTAATGCCAAAAACTTCATGTAGCGATTATGTTGAATAAATTAAAATGCTGGTATAGTTTAGCAGAAAAAATTGTCGAAATCCGACCATCACATCCGAACACATTTTTTCCAGCAAAGAAACACCTGTTTAACAAGGATTTGTGGACCTGCATGATGCAGGTTGATTCAAATCAGTGAAAACATTGTGAAAAAGACCTAAGTAAAGACAAACAATTAAGTGCTTGTTATGTCGAGGTATTGCGTTTACTTCTGGGCCGAGGAGGCTCAGGTGACGAACAATAGCGCACCCCGCAGGTAGGGCCGGGCACCCTCACAAAGGTCCTTTGTAAAAAATCGGGCCACTTGTCCCTTCCAACGGGACCTGTTGCACAACCATGTGACCTTTTGGATTATCGTTTTTTTTCCGTTCACTTCCTACTTGTGCCGTTAAGGGACGGGCTCGTGGGAACTCTGGAACCGTATGTACGCAATGTCCCGACCACCTGAGGGTGTCCCATAACGGGAAGAGGTTGTTACGACCGGTAGATCCCAGCTCGAATTGTAACCCAGTGATGGGTATCCATTTACGTCTGATCGACAAAACTAAAGAACAAACAGATCAAAATGATTGGAAATAGTTCACAATTCAACAGTAATAATTGAGGATGACGTGGTCCATATCATTCTGCTCTATAGAATATTGATACAATACAAGTTATGAATATTGGTAGCTTGTGATCACATTGGTCCAGGATAGTTGTAAAAAGTTGGTTAGAAAGATATAAATTTATCATCTTTGGTCCGCCTGTCCTCGCTTTTGTTTGTTTTAAAAAATAAATAAAATAAAATTTTTGGAATGCAATGTTTTAAGGTTTCACTACCACCATCTTATCGAATGGGAAAAAATTGGTCAATTTTCAGTACCATTCTTCGAAACTCCTTGAATAAATTTAAGGAAATTTCATATATTAGTTTTTAAATGTTTTACTTTTCAAAAGATGTTAAATTTATATGTACAAAAATCTATTGGTCAATAAAAATTTTTAAAAGCAAAACAAACAATAAAGTTAATTGTATTAATTAGGTGCTAAAAACCAACATGCTTTCAAGACAGAAAATTTCTATTTTGTAGCATATAATCATAATCAATTCGGCCAAATCATTATTATTTAAAAACTATTGGAATCATGAGAAGTGGTCAAGAATGAGGCAGTTTAGAAAAACAGCTTTTTAATTTTTTTGCTTTTTTGCCTACGTTCGACCTTTATCGGGTCATCTTCTGGGCATAAAGCTTGGTTCTAATCTTGTGGTGACATATTGGCTTTGTGTGAAATTGTTGTTAAGTGTTAAAAAAACACACACACACAAATAAAAATAAAACGAATATTCTACCTTTAGGCGAACGAATATTCTGCCTGTAGGACAAATTTTAAGCATTTTTTAAAATCACCTCTGAAAGTTACGTCTTTTGTTCAAATTTAGATTTAATTTTAATCATTCAATTAATTAAGGTTTTAGTTGAGATAAAAAAGCCAGTGTCACGAACGGGATTCGAACCCAAGATCTTAGGCTAGATACCTCACGGTAGCTCAAGTGGTAGAGTCTAGCCGAAGGTCGTGGGTTCGAATCCCGCTCGTGACACTGACTTTTTTTATCTCAACTAAAAACGTTACTTAATCAAAAGATATTAATTGATCAAGCGGACCACGAAAACTAATGAATTTAATTTTAATTAAAATATAAAAAAAAAGAGTAGAAAAAATAACAAAAACAGAATTCCGAGGCAAACGTACCTTGCACATTCTGTTGATGCACGTAAGAAAGAAAATGTGCTAATAAATTTATTACTTAAAAATAACCAATTTATTAACGGCAGAGGTTTTTATTATTATGTTTTCTATTGAAAAATAAATACATAACTGTCCAAAGAAATTTTGCCAAATAGTTTTGTATGAGAGCTCCAAACCGACATACTTTGTACTTTTAAAAAATTATTTAGGATAGTTCCTGTGATCGTATTTTTATTTTGTTTAAATCAAAATATCTGGAAAGTATTGGAGAATACAAAATAATTATATCTAAAATGATTTTGTTAATGTAATGGCCTCTTAAAGTACTAAATTCTTGGTTCTTATCGAGTCGTGTTTATTCTTTGTATCAAAATATGTGTTTTTCAACAAAAAAATTAGTACTGGAAATTATGTTAGTTTTCGGTCAGGTCTTCTCATATACAGGTATTAGAAC